AGCTACCATCTCCTATGATAACAACGCCTTCTGCAATACCTCCTGAAGGATCTGCCTGAGGATGTTTCACAGTTAACTTTTAAAAATAAGTAGAATATACTCTAAAATAATGATTAAAAGTATAGTAAATACATAGTACATAAAAGTATAGTAAATACATAAACTGGTTTTTGTATTTACTAAACTGGTTATTATAAGTAGACTACAAAATAATGATAAAAATTATAGTAAAATAATGATAAAAAGTATAGTAAATACATATAATAAGATCAAGTGTTACGTACTATACATAATTGTATGTGCTATAATTTTAAAAAAATTTTTATTATACTTTAAGTTCTGAGATACATGTACAGAACATGCAGGTTTGTTACATAGGTATACACGTGTCATGGTGATTTGCTGCAGCCGTGAACTCATCATTTACATTAGATATTTCTCCTAATGCTATTCCGCTATCCCTCCCCTTGCTCCCCACCCTCCGACAGGCCCTCGTGTGTGATGCTCCCCTCCCTGTGTCCGTGTGTTTTCATTGTTCAGCTTCCACTTATGAGTCAGAACATGCAGTGTTTGGTTTTCTGTTCTTATGTTAGTTTGCTGAGAATGATGGTTTCCAGCTTCATCCATGTCCCTTCAAAGGACGTGAACTCATCTTTTTTATGGCTGCATAGTATTCCATGGTATATATGTGCCACATTTTCTCTATCCAGTCTATCCTTGATGGGCATTTGGGTTGGTTTCAAGTCTTAGCTATTATGAATAGTGCTGCAATAAACGTATGTGTGTATGTGTCTTTATAGTAGAATGATTTATAATCCTTTGAGTATATACCCAGTAATGGGACTGCTGAGTCAAATGGCATTTCTGGTTCTAGATCCTTGAGGAATCCCTACACTGTGTTCCATAATGGTTGAACTAATTTACACTCCCACCAACAGCATCTGTTGTTTCCTGACTTTTTAATGATCACCATTCTAACTGGCATGAGATGGTATCTCATTGCGGTTTTGATTTGCATCTCTCTATACGGGCACTTTTATACAACTGACAGCACAGTGGGTTTATTTACCCTGCATCACCACATGCATGTGAGTATGCATTGCGCTGTGATGTTACCACTGCTATGACATCACTAGGGGATAGGAATTTATCATCTGCATAATAACGTTATGGGGTCACTGTCGTATATGCAGTCTGCCATTTGCTGAAACATCATTATGCAGAGCATGGCTCTGTATTAAAGGTGATAAGAAAAGCACACAAATAATTTACCACAGTAGAAAATGATTGTTATATGAGACCGTAAAATAAGGTATTCTAGAAGTTTACAGGAGGAAGACATTATTTCTGTGAAGATTAGAGAAACTGGCACGTAGGGAGTAGCATTAAAGGCAGGGTATATTTGAAACATGTGGACATAAGGGAATTCCAGATGAGGGAGGGACAAGGGGAATAAGTGATTAAGTAGGAACACAGATGTGGGAAATGGAGTGGGGGAAAGAAGTATGGAAAGGCAGGTGGGCACAGGGTAGAAAGTCCTTGAATGCCAGTGTTAGGAATTTAGAATTCTCTGAAGGCAATTGGGAGCCACTGAAAGTTTTTGAGCATGCTGGTTGTAAATGGGAGGGAGGTGTGCTTAGGTGTGTGCTTGGAGGAGGTTAATCAGGTAGTAAAATAGAGGATGGCTTTAACAGGGAGAAAGTGACAGTAGCGTGGACAACAGGCAACTAAAGCAGTCACACCAGGTGAAGGCTAACGTGGGTCTAAGGCCGAGTTAGGAAGAATGGGGGATTGGGAATGGGTCTAAGGGTGAAGTAGGAGAAATGAATGGATGGGTATAGGTAGGATTTTACAGTTAAATCAATAAGACCTTTCAATTTATTGCAAGTGAGAAGCATGAGAGAAGGAGACATTTTAAAATGGAGCTGAGGTTTTAAACCAGCTTAACTGGAGGATCAAAGGAAGGAACAGAGATAGAGAAGTAGATTTATATGGGAAAATACGAGCTTGCTTTGATGATACCGAATTTGCAGTGCTAAAATTTATGATGTAGGCTTGCAGTTCTTGTGGTTAAAAGTGGAAGACAGGTGTTGAGACAAGCCAGAGGTTGAGACAAAGGCTTAGAAACCATCCACCTTGTCGAAGGAGCTCTCATCCTTTTCAGAGTGTAGCCATGCTGTGTAGAGCAGACACCGTAAGCTTGATAGGAATGAAGCATATCTGGCTCAAAAGCATGTTTATTTGTGTTTTTAAAAGTATAAATATTAAACCAACATTTTAAAATCAGGAAATGATACTTAAAGCATTGATTTCTGGCTTCCCTTTTAAAAATCAAAATTGTACTTTGATGTTAGCGCAATTAAAAATCGTAACATTGAAATATGCGATTATGAAAGTTTTTAAATTTTTTTAAATAAATAAATAAATACGATTTGACTAACTGTGAACTCACGTTGCCACATAACAACAACAGCCGGAGCTAAACAGACACTGCCCCCTTGAGATCCTGGATGAATTCTTGAACTCACCACAGTACTCACCACTTCCCCTCATCTCATAAGGCTTTAATTGAAAGTCAGTTACTAAATATATAGAGAAAAAAAATAGGTTAATGGTTGCCAAGTGCTGGAGGTGGGCAGGGAATGGGACCTTGAGGACTGATGAGCAGTGGGTGTGGGATTTCTTTTTGGGGTGATGAAGTCTTCTAAAGTTAATTGCGGTGATGGTTGAACATCTCTGTGAATATAGCAAAAGCCACTGAACTAGACACTTGAAATAGGAGGATGTATGATAGGTAAATTATCTCAATAGAGCCGCTTTTCTAAAATGCAGCTGTAGTTGCTATTGCCCTTGCAGTGTCGGTTTTCTTATAGTAGAAAATACTTTTCTGTAAATCTATTTCTATAAAGGGAAAATGTTAGACTGAGAGGGTTGTGAATTTCAAGAAAAATGGTAAAGACTGTTTCTCTTAGTTGGGGTAAATAATTTCTGCATGTTAATATGCAAGCACCTGGCCTCTTTACTAATGTACGTTATTTTCCTGGACACTGAAAGCATCTGGTATTACACAAGAAAAAAATGTGGTCACGCCCCACTCCCTAAGGTCGACCCACAACTAAGAAGAAAGAGAAAACAAAGGCAGAGAAAGGAAAGGAATAATCAACATGGTAAAAGGAGAAGCAGAAGAGGCCAGTAGATTAGATGCCAAAGAAGGGAGAAGCTTTATCAACTGCTGACAAGAGGTCAAGGAGGATGGGGCCAGGGCAGTCAGGAGGTCATGGGAGACCATCCAGTGAGAGAGCTCAGAGAAGTGAAGCCAGAGAGAGATGCAGAGGCAGCTGACAAAGTGCTCAGAGAGCGTTGTTCAGGAGATAGTGTTTAATCTCAGGCATGAAGGACTATTGAAGGCATTTAAGTAAGGGAATGATATGGCCAGATCAGAGCAATCTAGATTATTTGTTTTCACATTAATTTGTGCATATTTTGAATTATGTGCCTGATGAACTGACGTAACCCCAAATTTTATTCTTTCTTACACAAAATTTCCTTCAATCTGAAATCTCCAGGCTTGTTGAGACCTTGGTTATTGATGTCCATCTCATTCATTCCTGTTCCTGCTTGAACCAAGAAATATATATATATATGGTTGGTGTTATCTGACTCAGCGGTTTTCAGCTTTAGCACTGTTATATTTTGAGCTGGTTATTTTTTTGTTGGTGTTATAGGATGCTGTCCTGTGCGTTATAAAATGGTTAGCAGCATCACCAGCCTCTCCCCTCGAGATGCCAGTAACACTGTGAATTAGACTTTACCAATAAAATCACCCTTCAGCCAAGAACCACTGAACTGCATTTGTCTGTCGTAGCATTTGGACCCAGGTGCTTTAGGCCATGTACAGTTAGTAGACCACCCTGAAAGGTGTCTGCCCTGGAAAACAAGACCCATTCCTACTCCAAACTGAGGCATACAAATCAGATAATGTCATAAGGGGGCAACAGATGAGACACTCAAGGCCTTACTGTGTTTTGGCTAATTCAGTGGACTCCAACCTGTATGTAGTCTCCTCATTGAAAAATGATCCTATCTGGAGGCTACAAGGCACAGTAAATGTCCAACTGTGCCCTCCTAAGGTTAGGATTCCTGTCATGGCCCACAGCCAAAGTGGGTACAGAGGTGGCCTCAGGCACAGGCCGTAGGCGTTCAGAGGAGGCCTCGGGATGTGCTAGACGTGATTGCGGGAGCTGGCTTCTATGCGGCAGGATTTGTTGGCTCGCCTTCAACTGGGAAGAAGGGGGTAGGGAGCAGAAAGGTTTTCTCCTGGTGATATCAAGAAGGGTCAGTAAAGCTTTGGAGACGTAAGATGCAACTTGGAGGAGACTAGGGACTCAGATAAAGTTTACTTCAGACCCTCCTCCTTAAAGGAAAGTCTTAGAAGGTAAAGGAATGTTTCTCTTGGAACAGGGATGTCTAAAACAGATTACATATGAAATGTTGAGATCTCCAGATTCCTTTTTTTTGGGTGTGTGTATATGGGGAGGGAGGTGGGAGGACAAGGGAATTTTATATGTATATGCCACTATTTCTATATTGATAAGGAAAATTGAGTTGAGACTCTTGTCAAGCTAAAAATGTCTAACAACTCTATTAAACTAAGACTATTTCATAACTGGTTCTGTGGAGTAGCATTATGCCTTGGATATTGAATGGCTAGATGTATTATTAGCAATGGCTCTGAGCTGTCTTGCAATGCAACCTCTTTTTGAGATGTAACTCTGTTATTGTTTGGCCCAGTGGTAGTTACTTTCACTGAGGCTGAAGGAAACCCATGCTGGTTTTTATTCTGATATTCATCTTATATTCATTCTCCTACTTCATCAACTTCTGTGTTAAGGAACTCAGCTGCCAAGTATTCTCTGAGCAATGAGTGGTGACTGGACTTCATGTGAAATGCCATCTCAAGAAAGGGCATCTGAAAGCATGCTTTTACCATTTCATTTCAGGCACTTCTGGATCCAGCTGTGTGACAGCTGCACTAGGAAATACCTGGAGTCACTGTGTGAATACCCGGCTGATCCTCCAGTACCTTGATTCAGAGAGAAGACAGGTGAGTGCTTTGACAGTATTCTCTGACTGTGAAGGTCAGGAAACGAGGTGTACACAGCAACCTGAGCATCTTCTGAAAATCCTGGCCACATGGTCTGTGCTGGGCCAGCCAAACTAGTCAGGCATAAAGATACCAGCATTTCTGCTTGTCTCAACAACAGTTATAATAAAGTGGGGAGACAAATCACACACAGGAAAAACATAAGAATTGATCCCACAGAGTAAGCATTTCTCTGATATTTGTACGCGACCAAGGACCACACTTCTAAGGATATCCAATTCTCTGTCTCTAAATGATCATTTCACTTAGATTGTATTTTGTTGAGGACTAGATAATTTGCATATGAATTAAATAATGATGGCGCTTTTTCTTGGAGTATGTGTACTTTGAAAATCTTAGGCCAGACAGATGCTGCCAAGTGAATAAACAATTCAGCAGATACTCGGTACTTTTACATTAACGCATACACCTATAGTGTAAAGTACTGAATGATACTAGAGAGACCTCCAAATGGTTGGTCACTTTCTCAGAGTTCCCTATTTATGGTTTCTATACTGGTCCCAGTGAGAATCCTTCCCTTACATCCAGAAAGGTTACTTTCTACCTCCTTTTAAGCCTTCTCTCTTGATTCCAAAGAAAAGGACACCACTGTCTGACCTCTTTGGTAAAATGTTTCATAAGACAAAATTTCTGAGTGTCGAACCTCAGTTTTATCCTACTGTAGGACCAGATTCAATCACAGTTTCTCCTAAAAGCAGGAAGAAGAAGAAGACGGGTGATTATTTTGATTTTTTGGAGAGGACAGAATTCAGAAGCCAGATTTGCCCACCTTGCTAAATATAAATCACCTCCAGGCTATTTAGATACAGAGGCATGAAATATCACACTGGTTATCCTTTCTGGAGGAGATGGCAGAAAAGGTGTTGTTGCCTTTACCTGCATGAGGTAAACTGGCTCTTTTTCAAGGAAGCAGGAATCATCAAACACAGGCATGAGCTATCGCCTGTTCTAGATATAATTTTTCACATGCCCTTGGTTACAGACCAGCGAGTTCTTCTTGGTTCGCTTTGGACTGTGTAAATAGCATTCCAGCTTGGTGGTCAAGTCAGCCATGTCCTGAGAAGATGGAGCTGCGTGTTTCCGCTCAGGGAAACATTCTTGAGTTTTCAGGCCCTGGACTGCCTCAATGGTACTTTTTCCCTGATGAGTCAGGTATCCTAGGTTCTGAAGCTATTATTTCTCTTTTTAGTGGAATACATTCCAGAATATTCCTGGAGAACCTAATGATCTTTGGTAGTAAATCATGTTAAATAGCTGTACTGCAGCTTTCAGGGATATCGTTAAGGGTTGTCAAACACGCCTACATAAACTTTATCAGAGGAAGCAAAATTCCTTGTGAATCAGATCCCACTCCTTGAAAACTTGTAGTTTGTCTCTGTTTTAGGTTTTAGATTTTAGAAGCCATTCTTACTGTTACACATGGAATTTATGATTTCATCTATTATATATGGTATCATGGATTCAAAGCTCCCAAATCCTAGTTTTACTAATTCCAGTTAGAATTTATAAGTGAATAAAGAAGTCAGAGCCGTATTTTTATTTTCCTTTTGTTTTAATAAATTAACCAGTCAGTGTCAACAGGAAGTAGCTGGTGAGACAAACCTATTTTTTTTTTAATGTCTCTTTGGTGACTGAAGGATGTTGGTGGCTCTTGGCTTTTGGCTAGTATGGTAAAATGCAGCCCAGATGTGGCAAGGAGAATGAGGAGCAGAGTGTGGGTGGACCAGTGACAGTTCATCAACTCACATCCCATTAGATGGGTCAGTCATGTTATCTTAATTTACAAAAGACAACTTGTTACTGTCATTACTAATCAATAAGGAGTAGACTTAAATGCCTTGGAATCATGTTAATCAAACAATAATTAAAAATTAATGTAAAATATGGCCAGTGTTAAAATGGCCAACCCAGGCAAAGAACATACATTCAATTAATCTATAGAAATGTGCATACCCTTTGGGACCAGTTGTGAAATTTGTAACTTAATAACTAGAATAAAGTTTGATGTAAAAAACATGTCTCTGTCTGGTGACCTTATCTTGCCTTAGCAGAGGGTGTGCTTTAGTGATTCCCTGAGTCTTTCCTGTGGTCCTTATTTTGTAACAAACTATAGAAGCCATATGAAGCTAAGTCTTTTCTGGGATATGTGCACAAAACAATACTTTAAAGCTAATCTTTAAGGTAACTGCACCAAATAGTACTTTCTTATAACACCACGTAGTAGCAGAACATGTCTGGATCATTCTAGGGTAGTGACACCTCTGGGACACCAGCCACCTGGAGAAGATAACAGGTATAGTTTTTTGTGTTTTAGGGTTTTCCAATGCCCAAGCAGGGGCCACTACACCCAGGGATCCAGGCTATGGGATGAAGATTATGTTTCATCCTGTTTCTATGACATTGAGCTCTACACCAGGGCTCTTGAATGTGAGGCTTAGATTGAGATCACAAGCCTGGAAGGGGGTCAGGTCAAGCTGAGCAGACCTTAAAGCCGATTAACCCAAGAGCTGAATTGTGTTGTCCGAGAGAAGGAGTCCTCCCTGGCTGATCATTTTCTTTACACTCTGGAAACTTTACAAAATTTTATAACCAAGAAAGAAATCTCCTTATCAGGGCACAAGCCAAGTTAATTCTCTTGCTTATTCTGCTTCAATGTTTGAAAAACCCTCTTAAGAAGCTGGAAAACATTTTCTTTTGGACTAATTTAGCTTTTTTTCCATTTGACTTTTATTTATTCTTTTCCTACTCTGCTTCAATCCTGCCCCACCCTTTTTGCAACATTTTAATTCTTACCAAAGACATGTTCTTAGAGTAGAATTCAAATGGCCTCGCCTACTTGTTGTTGTTGTTGTTTAAAACCATCAAAAATATATTTTGGTCTACCCTGTGGAAGGCATGGGGATATAAAGAAGAAGAGTAGTTCCTGCCCTCGAGGTCCTAACAAACTAATACTGAGGTACTGTCACAAGGCGGTGTTTGATTGGTTGTCTAATGAGTGCTTAAAACAGTAACTGCTTTGAATCCAAAGGAAGGTAACATCATCGGAGGCATATTAAGTCTTTTCAGGAAAAGGTGACACTTGAGTATTACCTTAAAATCAGTGGTTCTCAGCTGGGCACAGTGGCTCACGCCTATAATCCCAGCACTTTTGGGAGGCCAAGGCGGGTGGATTGTTTGAGGTCAGGAGTTCAAGACCAGCTTGGCCAACGTGGTAAAACCTCATCCCACTAAAAATACAAAAAAAAAAAAAAAAAAAGCCAGGTATGGTGGTGCCCACCTGCAGTCCCAGCTACTCAGGAGGTGGAGGCAGGAGAACTGCTTGAACCCAGGAGGCAAAGATGACAGTGAGTCCAGATTGCACTACTGCACTCGAGCCTGGGCAGCAAAGCAAGACTCTGTCTCAAAAAAAAAAAAAAAAGAAAAGAAAAAAAGTGGTTCTCAAACCTGGCTGCACTTAAGACTCATTACAGGAGCATTTATACCAACGCCAGTGCCCCAGCCTGGCCAGTAAACTCAGAATCTCCACCAGTAGAGCTGAGCATCAGTGTTGATTTGTAAAGTGCCCCCATGTGATTCTAATGTTCAGCCAAGGGTGGGAACCTCTGCCTTAAATAAGAGATAAAATTCAGGTACTCAGAAAGGGGAGGTGCAGGGCTGGAGTGAGCAGCAGCTGAAGAACAGGAGGATAGGCTGCATTGTCAGAGGGCACGGGCTAGGTTTTGCCTTGTAACAAGAGCAGAGGTTTTGAGCTCTTAGTCATTTGACAAACTTTATTTAATCACCTCTTCTCTGCTAGTCACTGTGTAACTACTTGCTGGAGATTCAGAAAAACAGGTAAGAGATGGTTGGTACCCTGTGGTTGTTCACAGTCTACTTGAGGAAACATAGGCATGGAAACAGGACTTGCAGTAAGAGCACAGTGAATGAAGTAAGTGTAGGTGACGTGGGGGCCTGCCACCAAGGAAGGTTCTTTAGCGATTAATGAGGCAGAGCACGCCGAGGAGTGGCCGAGGCCTTAACTTGGGAATCCAAGTGCTGTCTAGCGAGGGCTGGTTATACTTGAAAGAAGGATGGAAAGCTCGACAAAAACATTCACATTTATACAGTTTCTCCTCAAATCCTCATGAAGTCTGGTCTTACAAACCACAAATGGGATTATATAAATTTTCAAGTGCCCTGGAAGGAGTAATGAAGTAAATGAATCCTGACTTAAGCCTCACGCCCCCTTGATGAAATAAATATTATGACTCTCTTATTTCAACAAATTGGAAAGAGGTCATTTTTTTTTTCCATAAAGGAGGTTTATTTAAATGAACTCTCTAATAATATTTTCATTTCTATTTAGGAGGCACTTTGAAATTATGGGACACTTGAGGCACCAGTCTAAAATACCTAGTAAATTGTTGACAGAACCAATATCACTCAAGCTGCTGATCCACGCTTGAATCCACAGGCTTTTCTCAAAGCCCCAGGTTGTTTTGCATCTTGGTAGTATTCAGTATTTCCTTTCTGGTGATGGGATTCTCAGTGTCCATTTTATATTTTCAAAGACTCAAATATCATCACTTCGAAGACTTCCCTGACACCAGCGGTGATCCATCCCTCTTCCCTCTGGCCCACACTTGCACCTGGCCCTTGTCTCTCTTCTTATACTTCTGAGCCCTGAATTATGAGCCCCTTGAGGTTTATGACTGAATTTATCTGTGTACCCTCAAATGTAAGGGCAGTGCTTGACACTTACCCAGTAAATACATTTATTTTGAAAGAGAGAGAAATCAAGAAGAAGAAACATACTCCTGTAGCTATTCATGAACCCAGTCTTAAGGATGAAGGACTGCTTATTTAAAATCATTCTTCCTCATAGAAATTGAGTTTTACAGTTTAACCATTCCTTTAAAATGTTAGTAATTGTCGGTTTAAAGGGTTAGCATCAAACCTTG